CACTGCTAAATTAGGGATGGCTAGCGCAGATAGCCCTCGTGTAGCTTTGCGCGAAATTCAAAACAATCAATCAATCAATCTCATCCTATTGCTGCATTACATTTTCAGGTTGAGTATGGATTACAAGAGGGGCAGTTAAATCTCGCTAATCATTTAGAGTAGCCAGACAGTTTCTAGTGGATGCTGTTGGCCAGATGGCTTTCCTTTGGTCAGTCAGTTCAAGACTGAAGACATTTAGTGCAGATAGCCCTTGTGTGGCTTAGTTGCAAATATGAGAAATAAACAATTAATTGTATTTCATATAAAATATTTTATTAGAGCTATGCATATGTAGATATCATATGGAAGTTATTTATTAAAAGTATACATTAAAAAAATATCTTAGTTGTTACAAAATCAATTAGTTTTAACCTTTTTTTACTTTTCCTAAAGTTATTATTTTACTGAAAAATGTTGTTTATAGTGTGAAAAACAACACATGATTTCATTTAGTAAAATACTTATTCATTTTCTCACATATTTTAAGTTAGTAATTACTGGTTATTCCAGGGTAAGATTTATAACTTTCCTAATGCCTTTTGACACAATGTATTATTTAAAAAGTTGTTATATTTAACTTATTAACCCCTGATGGGTGTCTCATATGAAGTCAGTTTAACAAACTGTACACAAATGGGCTGATATTCTAAACAATAGATGAAGATTTAACATGCTTTATAACTTGCTTCAATAGCAATACTATAAGTGATAAGGCTCTATGAGTATTTTAAGTAAGACATTTCAAAACCTATTCAGCTGATTGTACACAAATTATCAACCCTAAACATTGACATTGTAATATTGCCTTAAGGGCAGTGGAACCCGGAGTTTTGGAAGTTTGTACTATCAGTCATTTTGTTTGCTTTAATAGTTTAATATTTTAGGGGTCATTTTGTTTCACTTTTTTGTCCTTTATTAGAATACTCCTGCCAGGTAAGTCCCTGATTGTATTGTGTAAGTATTAAGTATGTTCTTGTATTTAATTCAATTTTATGTTCTTCAATGATTTTAGGTGTCCTTATAAGAAAATAACCAAACATGCTATTAAATTTATTTACATAATTTTTTAAAATACTACCTTGTGCATAACACTGAATACTGAAGACCAGTCCTCAAAGAGATCACCTAAAAATTGAATTAAACAATGTGTTTCTTTATCTCAGAAACACATCCACAGCAGCTGAAGTTATTCCTGTAGAGACCCCACCCTTCAAGGAAAGTCAGAAATTCACAACTGAAGGTACTGATGAAGTGCAAAAACAGATACTGCAGTTCAGTGATGATCAGAATTTTCAAAAGATCATGGAGAGAATTGATTTTATCCCTAAAGGTGAAGTTTGTTACCAAAATAATAGGAATTCCATTTAGTTTTGATCAAACATCTAGTGTTAAAAGAAACAAAAACAATGAAAATCAATAAGTGAAATTAAAATCTAACTCATCTCATAGTCAAAAGCTTAAGGAATTAAATAACTATATTTTTCATAGATTACATTATTATTACAGGTTGGACAGTGATTCAGGTGTGTGGGGTACCACAAGATGTTTGTCTGACAGCAAAGCTCTCTCACTTCACAGTGCCTGACCTGCTAGTATGTAGATATAGGCATGGAAGGACTCCAACTTTTGTCTTGTTTAATAGCAGTCAAGACACTCAGGTTTGTTTCTTTCAAATTTGGTCAAAGAATTATACGTGAACCACATTAGCGTTACTTAAATACTCAATTTTATAATACAGGATTGCCTTTAATAGTAAGTTTTTTGGCCACCAACTGTATTGAAATATTCGTTTTCTATTTTTTGGAATATCATCATTTTTAATTAGTTAATTTCAATTTTCCAACCAGAAACTTCTAGCAAGTGTTTTTAGTAAGTTAACCTTTTTGACTGGTATAAATCACTAAAAATTAAGCCTGTCATGCTACATCAGCAACGTACTTTCTATAAGAAATTTATCAATGACAGATGTCATTGCCATAGAAGCTTTGGAATATTCTTTAACAAAAAAATGTAACAACTGAAGAGAAAGATTTATTGTCAACATTAATATATATTATATTGGCTGTACTTTTGTATTTTGAAAAGAATAAAGGAAATTAAGCAAAACAAGTATGTGATTTACATAAATGTTTGTATGGAAAGATGGTAGTCTCAAAACATCATGAATGTACTCTCAGTAAGTTCATAGTCTTGACTCTGGAGTTACCATACTTTTTCATTTAATGTATTGATGAGGTATAGTGTTCAAGCTGACTGAACATTGTTGCATAAGAACAAAAGCTCTTCTAGTCCATTAACTACACCTGCTACACTTTTTTTTCCATTGAACAAAAATGCATTGCCCAAAACTATTTATTATAGCAGGTTTGTAATCTCTAGCTCCTTGGTTATAGTTTGTTTGTTTGTTATTTAGCAACTAGTTGTTCATGTGGATTACATAAGTATTAACCATTTTATAGCTCTTTAAGCAACCTCGTTGGATTATACCATACTGGTAAATTTTAATTGACATTAAACATCTTTTAAAAGTTGCACCTCTATTTCCACCTTAAATATTTTTCTTGGTTATTTAACTTTTTTTCAGTTGTCCAATGAGTATTCAAAGTTAGCTTGACATTGTGGCCTTACAGCAACCTTGATTTCGGATGTTATATTACCCAAGTTGTAAAATATTTAATAGACCCTGTCCTGTTGGTTCTAAAAGTAATCCAATTTTAACCCTTACTGTTTTGGGGAATAGTCATTTGTAGTTTGTAGCAAAAAAATAATTACTGTAGATTAAATGTATAAAATTCTCATTACAATATAGACAAAACATTAACTTAGCTACATGTTTCACTCAGTGATAAAAATCGAATTCGGTCTCTTCAGTACGAACTTGATTCTGCATTCACAAGTGCGTTTGGTTATTTAAAAACACCTACTCATCACAGCAATCTACCTTCACAATTTTCTCATAAAATGAATAAGTTAACCACTTAATACAATGGAGAAATCATTGAAAATAGAACTTACTAAAATGTACTATACTCATTTCCAACATAATTCAATCATACTGAAATATAATGAGACATTTTTACAAATCTTTCTCAATACCAGTTTTTTTTCAGGGAAAGAAATTTATTTCAAACTTTCCCAATTCTCCACTTTTAGTTTTCTGTTTTTAGTTGGGAAGACCTAGTTTGTAACCTAATAGTGTACTGCTGTTTTTTGGCCCAAACTATTTTGATATATTAGCTTTGACTATTACAAAGATTGTAAATGAAAGTAATTATAGTTTCAGACAAGCTTTTTGAAGGAGTTTCACACCATCTTAGAAGAAAGTGCAGCCACAATGCAGAAAGAAGACCCTAAAACTTGGTGGACAATTCGTTATGCCTTGGACAATCGCTTGAAGGTCAGTTACTAAGTCAATACTCTAATGAAATTGGTGAATTCTTCTATGTGATTAATAGCCATGCAAACTTTGAAGGTAATTGTAAATTTTTAATTTTATGTATTTTAAGAAAAACAGCAACAACTAAATTTTATATTCTTTTAAGGACCATAAACTCAATTACTTTGGAAAGATTGTTTTAAGAAGCTTGAAGTTAAATGGTTATTTCAATTAAATGTGGTAAAGACTGGACAGTCCTTTGAAATACTTTTAATGTAATAATAATTATTAACTTTTTTAGTTTTACAACAATCACATTAATTCATTTTTTATATTTGCACAAGTATTAGCACAAAACAGTTTATATGCAATCTTCAGTTGTCATTTTTTCTGTGGCATGGCCTGTTGATACTTGACTTGCAATCTGAAACCCGTCACTAAACAGGCTTCCCTTTTCAGCCTTAAGGACATTATTTTATGATGGTATTTCCACTGTTCATTGGCAAAGAGTGGGTGGCAAGTGCTTTCACCCTGGTCAATAGTTTGAGATTAAAGACTGCACAAGATAGTCTTAGTAGCTTTGTAATAAACAAACATTTCCCATATCCTTGAGAGTTTGGTCATTAGTTTAGGCATAACACTTCTGTTTGATTATCACTAAATGGGAATTTAATTAATTAAAGGAACTTAAACTGATTTTAAAGAGTAGGATGAAATAAAATTAAAGTTTACAAGATGAAACAACAATGTCTTAGACTGATATTTTTCCTTTGAAAGCAATCTCAGTCCAAGAAACAATAAATTCCTTATAGCTTAGTAAATGCAATCAGACTTAGACTGTCTCTTCACCCATATGTCACAGTTGCAAAGGAAGCCTCACACCAAAAAGATGCTGGCCACCACATACAGTTGTCCATGTAGTGGCTAAGACAACATGAATTGGCACTTTTATTAGAAACAATCCAATTTGAGATATGTTTCTGTATTCTTGACAAATTCCTGTTCCCTTACTAAGTATAGGAACACATTGTAAAAATTATTTACATTTCTAACTAATATTTATTGAAAAATAGGATTATGGTAGAAGCCTACTATAGATCTAATGGCCAGTTGTCACACTTAGTTGCAAGGAAATTTATTTTGATATTAAATCAACTACTCTGAAGTAACATTTACTAATAAATAACAAGTAATTTTGACCTATATATAGTTTATTACTTTCATCAAGGGCTCTTATTAACTAGTATCTGGAATTTATTTTGATTAGTTCTATGTTTTGTAGCCATGATTTTTATTATTTAATTTTTTAATAGCTGTACCTGTTTTCCAACTCTATTTTTATCTCTACTAGGAGCTTAACTTCCTTGCTTGATAGGTTGCAACTCACACATGGGACATTGTTTTCCAAAATTAAACTTGTTGTTTTTTATCATATACTTGCAAGGCTGATGCCATGTTATTGTCCACCCACTTGTAAACATTATAAAGTTAAACATTATCCATTTTCATGTTGAATTCTGTGACTTTGAAAATAATAAAATTAAATAGAAAAAACTCCATGTATATATATATATAAAAATTGGCGTTATTTCAAAGCATTTAAACCTAAGTCATACAACTTACTGTATAATTATGAAGCTTAATAATTTCAGGAACTAACGGAGAGTATGGAAAACATGTGGCTTGGCTGTTGGAAAGGTGTATTTCTTGGAAAAGTAGATGATGAAAACTATACTTCTGCACTTAAGAATACCATTAAGGATTTAGTGGAAATTACCTCTAGTCAAGGTCTTCATTGTAATCAGGAGGACTTGTTAGAGGTCAGTGTTTTTGTGAAGATGTAGATTTTGTAAAAAAAATTAGGTGGAATTATAATATTTATAAAATAAGTTTATTTCTTTACAATAAATTATCCTTTTTTATGTACTTCAAAGTAAAATCTAACCTATAATTGTATGATTTAAAAATTCTGTCATTCACATAAAATAAATTGTGTTCAGATTAAATGGAGAAGAAAGAAAAAATTAGCCCTTTTTAAAAATGTTGCATAAATTCCACACCTCCCACTACAGCTACCTTAGGAGACAATGATTGGTATATCCTAATTTACTTTCATACCTAACTTATACCTGGAATAAATAACACACTCTGAATTCTGTATTGATGTTGTTAAGTTATTCATAAATGTGTATTATGGTACCATGGAAAATGGAGGTACTTAAAAAGAAACTTAGATAAAATGGTAAAAAAAAAGTTGTGTTAATTTGTAATTAAAAGGTAGGTGATAGTATAAAAGTTGTCTACTCATTTCTTTTAAATTTCAAATTTTAATCCTGTTTAATCTGTTGTCTCATTCATGGTATGATTTTTCCTTTCATTGTGGATACTTATCTTGCCTGTAATGGCATGATTTTTAACTGGTAATAGACTCCTGTTGAACCTAGGGTTGGCATCATCTGGTGGTCATTGCACTTGACTTGCAATCTGCAGGTCTTGGATTGAAACCTAACATCAAACATGCTTGCTCTTAAGTTGTAGAGGTTTTATAATATAGTTAAACCCACTATTTGTTGGTAAAGAGTAGTCCAAGAGTTGGCGGTGAATGGCATTGACTAGCTGCCTTTCCCCTAGACTACCACTTCAAAATTATGGGTGGGTAGGACAAGTAGACCTAGAACAACTTTGCATGAAATTGAACAAACTTACTGAATGTGTTGAAACTATTTATAAACTGTTTTGAACTCTTAGTTGCTTTTCTTCTGTGAAATTTTCTAGAAGAATCTTTAAGCTAAGGTGTAAATCTTTAATTAAAGAACTGATTGAATTTTACCTTAAGTTTTATTTTTGCTTATTTTATTGCAAAAAAGAGACAGATTTTTTTTGTTTGAAATATAACTTGTAAATAAATAAATAAAAAATTGTATAAACATTTTATTGCTATCAGTTGGTATTATCCTATCATGAATTTTGGAAATATTTGCTTGAGATTGCCATAGTAAATTTGAAAAAATACTTCTGGGCTAAAGGCATGCTTAATTTATACAATGGTACCATTCTGCATAATTCTGAGGCATTTGATGGGGCATTACACTGGAAGAATAGGATACTAACATTAGATAAGAAATAGCTATATATTTAAAACAAATTTGGAAACCTTTTTATAACTTGCTGAATTAATTCCCTAAATATAATAAGTATTTTTAATTGTTTGATACTAGGAACTAACAATTACTAGTAAATCAAAAAAGCAACATTGTCTTCCTATGAGTGGACAAGCTAGCAAAAAAAATATACTTTGTGCAATGCTGAAATAAAGTCCTATGATGAATATCATTTTGATTGAGTTATAGATGAAATTTGTTTGTCATTGTAAAAGTAATTTAATCTGACTGGCCAAGAGAAGCTACTGTAACAAACCATAAACTATCTTTGTCAGAATGATAGTTAAACTTACAACTTCTTATTGTAGTTGGCTTTGATGGTTTTTCATTTGGTTGTCCATGCAAATATACTTACTTCAAACAAACAGGTTTTAACACAAACAAGCTGACAAAAGCTTGAGAAAAGTAGATAAACAATTTTTGATTGATTAAATGTAAATTCAACATTTTTATTTTCATATACTTCACTGACTTCATGACACTTAAGATGTAAAAGGCAACACAGTTGTGTTGCACATTGGAATTGATTAAAGAAAGAAAGGTTTAATGTGGTAGCTTACAAGAATCCAGGATCTAATCAACATCTCTAGAGGTATGTGCAGTTTGGGAAGTAAGTGTCAAATGGCATACTATTTTTGAGGTTAAAGCTTTATTTAAGTAACTGAATATATGGATTATTTTCTGGATTCATCCAAACCAACCTGAGGAATAGCTGCTTCCTCATGGACAGGTTATCTGTACGAACTTTTAGGTTGCTCCGATTATATGTAGTTATCACAGTCTGATGGTGCCATAGATGTTCTACTCATGGTACATGAGTGTGTCTGTCTTTGATAATTGCCTGAAAGTGTAAAATTATGCAGATGATAAAAACTGAATGTTTCTTGTACTTAAATATTTACTCACAATAATCTTTTATTGAGTTCTATGATGTTTTCCCTCTAATTAAATTCCTTAGTGAATGCCGTATGAAAGTTACTTTTGGTTAAAAGCAATATTATTTTTTAGAGTTAATAAAAACTTTTTTTCCCATCTGTTTATTCTTATTTCATATTAAATGATTTAACAGATTGCTGTAAGATATCTTCAATTTATTCTACTTTTTTGTGTGGATAAAAAATAGGGTTGAAAATCATCTTTCTGATTTCTGTTTAACTATCTAAATCTTATTCTGCTTTTTTTTTCCTATAGATTTTAGTTGATTCCAGCAGCCACTTGAACAACAAGCAACTGTCTTCCTGCATCAATCATCTGTGGAATGTGAAAGCAACAGATTCAGTTCATCAAAATATATTTAAAATTATAAGAGACTCTGAGAAAAAGCCATCCAACTCTTGTAATCGACAACCTGTTCTGCTTATTCTTGACAAGGTTAGGTGTAGTGTTCAGACTTTCTTAATCCTTTCCGAACTAATGCACACTTTTCAAATGTTGAGTTCACACCAGCATATCAAATTTCATGTAAAAATGCTAAATCTATTTCAACAATATTTAAAACAAAATATTTCATAAATTGTTTTCTGCTCATCCCTTGAAAATATAATTATCTGTGAAATGTTTTTCACATTATTTTCCTTCTTTTTCACTAGTTCAGTCTTTCATTCACATCCTCCATTAGATCTCACAGTATATGATCTGAACAACTACTAATAAGGTTCAGCTTTGGAAATAGCTACAGGCAAAGTTTAAATGCCATTTGATAGAGCAGAATATGAACTGTGTGTCAATGTAGATTAAATAAATGATGGGATGAGTAATTTATGGTTTCATGAGAGAGAGAGAGAGAGTGACCTCATTGAGCTCTTACAGAGAAGAATGACAATAGAACCTAATGAGCAATTTTAGAAGAATTGGGAACAAACCACAGATATGGGAAGTTTTTTATAGTTTATTTAGATGTCCATTTCGTTCCTGAAGTTATTTTCAACTTAAATTATATTTATTTCAGGGTGCATATGCATCCTTGAAAGTCTGCCTGAAAAAAGGGGCCCCTTTCTCTTTTTTTTTTTTGTTTTGTTGTTGTTGTGCAAAAGTACCTGAAAATATTATAAGAGCAGAATATATTGATATATCTAACTTTAATGCATGTTGTGGAGCTGAGTGCAGTAAATAATCTTTCTTTCCTTCTTAGTCTACATTCTTATGTTGCACAAATAAATAGGAATTTTATACAATTTCAGTAGAATCTGATTGATTTGATGTAGATTTTAGCTTCCCAAAAAGTGCTTGAAAAACATTCTGAGAGTGCTTAGAAAGTGCTTGAAATTGATGTGAGTAATTCAATATGAACCATGATGTGTGAAAGCTACAGAACTTTGTTATGACAAAACTATGGATAAGCTTAGGTTAGGCTTAATAAATTTGGTAGGCAACAACAGAATATTCCAATGTCTTAAATCCTTATTTATTAATCATTATTGTTAAATTTATTGTATTCAGATAAAGCACATAAGTAAAATAACTTGTTTATTGAAAAGAAACTAATTAGGTACAAATTGATCTTGGCCAATATTATTATTAGCAAAAATACTGTCTCCCCCTAGCTTTACCTTACACCATTTTGAAAGGTTGGGTCTCAGGTCACTGATAAGTCTTTGTCAATTTTAAATATATTAGTGAATATCAAATTTATGTGTGTGTGAAATGAAACTTTCAGATAAAAAAAAGTAATTTAGGATGAAAGGAAGAAATTATTGTTTTTTTAAAACTGTGTCTCACAATAAAATTTTGGAAATTGTGACAACTAATGGAAGAAAAACTAAATTGAAATATATTTTTAACGAGTGTTGCTCCACAAGATGTGAGAAGAAAAACTTGGATAAAAGATAATATAGAATAAACTGGTACGTCTAAATGAAAATTTATTCTACTTTTATTTGGTTTGACTTGTCAGACAGATTGCCCAATATAATAGAACAGTAAGATGTGACTGTCACTCTTATAATCTTATAGAATAGTAAGATGTAAAATAAAACTGGAAATTGTTTCATTTAGATATGTCAATTTATCTTTTATTTTAAATTTTTACAATTGAAATACATGATTTTCTTTAAAGCCAAAACTAGATAGTGCTTAGTAAGTTTCGTACAGTTGGTTAAGTATTTCCATTATGTCAAGGAAAACTTTGGGATCTCAGTGATACCCCCTCCAGTCTGAAAAGAGTTGAGGAATTTTCATATCATTTATACTACAGCATGTTAAGGCAAATATGATAATCTTATGTAGTGATTGTTTTCTTATTAAAAGATTGTATGTGTTTAAATCATAACCAGGGAACTACAGAATCTAAAAATATCTATGATGAAGAATATATATATTTTTTTATAATTACATTACAAACTGTTTTTAGTTTATAGTATGGCCTCGCATTTCCAGGTGGTTAGACTGACTCGCAATCTGTGGGTCACTGGTTCGAATCCCCCTTCCCACCAAACATCCTCACCCTTTCAGTCATGGGGGCGTTAGTGTGACAGTCAATCCCAAGAGTTGGCAGTGAGTGGTGATGACTAGCTGCCTTCTCTCTAATATTTCACTGCTAAATTAGCTACGGCTAGCACAGATAACCCTCATCCAGCTTTGTGCAAAATTCAAAACCAACCAACCAATTACTATAGTATTTTAACAATCTTAAAATAACTAAAAATCTATGGTTATCTTCTAATTCTATTGTAAACAAGCCAATATTTTGAATTAAAATTCAACTTAGTGAAAGCAATTTGATAACATTTAATGATACCTATTTATTTTTATTTAGTACTATCTATTTTGAAAAGCTGATTAGATTAGGATCATTGCAATTTAACCAGTACAATTATTATATACTGAATACATTGAATTGGATATCAAAAGTAACTGCTGTAAGACCTGCTGGTAAGTCTTAGAAATAATTTATATATATATATAGATGCAAATTATTGGTACAATATAAAAGTTTAGTTGTTACAATAATACAAACATATGGCCAACCAAATTTGACAGAAAACCAACTATAGTACATGGATTTATAAGTATTTTGGATGAAAATCCCTAATTTTCCTGTTAACTTGGTTGTATTTTGAAAGATGTATTCATTTGTTTCAAATATTGTGGAATTTATTTCTTTAAACATAATGTAAATCTTTGTTCTATAATCTATTTAGTCTATAATAATTAGTATTTAGAAAAAGAACAAAATTACTGTTATATTGATCAATAGAAATTAAGATTTTAAGGAGAAAGTTTCTAATAAAGTACAATAAATATTTTTTTACAGTTTTAATATTTTATCTGTTTATTCATAAATTTGTTTGTATCATTACTAGTAGCTAAAAATTATTTTAAATTTCAGTATGTTCAACCATTACCATGGGAAAGTTTACCCATGCTCCAGCACTCTCCAGTCTCTCGCATTCCTTCGTTACACTTACTTCACTCCCAGCTGTCCTTGTATAGATTATCTCCCAATACTATTTTTAATAGGGGCATCAACTCAACCAAAACTTACTATGTATTGAACCCCAGCAATGACATTCCTCACACTCAGAAGAAGTTTGAGGAAGTTTTTAAAAGGTAATTTTTATAGGTAATTTATTTTATGACAGACTTTAAAATATTTCTTGCAATGAGGAAAAAAAAACTTTTACATTTTTCCTAAAAAAAATTCTCATTCCAAGAAAAGTACTTTTTCATAAACATTAAATCATTTGAATAGGTAAAATTCAAAACCTTTTTGCCAGTTAATTATGATGCTGATTTATTTAGAGTTCCATAAAATGGAGGATACTATTATTTTCTCAAGTCTGTGTTTAATTTAAGTTAAATTGATATTTATGAGTGATTATCATTGATGTGCAATTGTCTGGTATTTAAAGACATTTCACATTTAACCTATAAATCACACAAATGTATTTTTATTTAGTTGAAATTGACATTTGTGCTTGTCACAAAGTTCAGTTATAGATCTCATTTTTTGAGTTGCATATGGTAGTAATCTTTCAAATAATAGTTATGGTGATTATATTACCATGAACATTCCCTTGTAGTTAAGTATGAACTTTAAGCTCTGTGTAAGATGAATTGTAGGGTAGTTTCTAGATACGTTTTATCGTTTTGCATAGATTACTTAGTAAACTATCATTGTCATACTTCTTAATATTAAATGTTATAATGTGAATCTTTTCTCTAGTATGAAAGGATGGAATGGAATAGTTGGACAGAAGCCCTCTAACCAAGAGTTAGCATCAGCTTTGACTGAAAATGACTTATTTCTGTAAGTTTATGGGTTTATTATTATTATTAAACTAAAAAATTACAAGTGTTTCAGATACTGTAATATGGCAGGTGTAATAAAATATTAAAGACTTTACCATTCTGAGGTTACCCTGATTTCTCTTAGAGTAGCCTTCAGGATTTGCCGGACTGTAGGTAAGTCTATTTCAACATTGTTTTATTCACAAATATTTTATAATTGGTGTTTTGTTATTTTTGTAATATTTTTTTAGTGAGATTCACAAAGAAATTTTTTTAATGTTCAAACTGTTCTACACAACTTTGAGGATTCTTGTCTGTGAATAACATACTTATCGTTTTTTGTTGTTGTTGTTGTCTTACATCAAAGACATGTATACAGTTGAATGGGTTTCTATGATTCTAGTTTTGTCAACCATCTTTTACCATGAAGTCACCTTTCACCTCAGTATCAATGATCTTAGAAATGTATCAAAATCTTAAACACAATGATAGTGTGTCAGTGGTTAATCACAGACTAGACTATATTACTCCATGAAGTCACCTTTCACCTCAGTATCAATGATCTTAGAAATGTATCAAAATCTTAAACACAATGATGAAAATGACATGAGTAATTGATTTCTGTTTATATGAGTATTAGTATTCAAGGTTGTAGTATAAGGTGGAATGTGCATATTTTTAAGTGTGTTAATGTACAGTATGTTTTGTTGTGTAGTGTAATAAATTTGAGAGACATTTAATATTTAGTTTTGTTTTTGTTTCAGGTATTGTGGACATGGGTCAGGACGTGTTTATCTGGCTGGAGAAAGTATTGAAAGACTGCAGTGTCGTTCAGCCTCGGTACTTATGGGATGCAGTAGTGGAAAGTTGAAGGTGTTTGGGCAGCAGCTAGAACCAACAGGTGTAGTTCTGCAGTACTGGTTAGGTGGCAGGTAAGTGATGCTATTTATTTATATGTAATATAATTTTTTAATGTTTGTTTGTAATACCTATAAATCTGAATTTCTTAATGAGTATTGTTTTGAAAAAGGATGTAACAATATGATATAGAAGTTTACTTTGTATAATAGTATTACATACATTATCCTGTATTGTAATTGTCCCTACTACAGGCAGCTTTACAGAATAGGTGCACAATATAGATTTGTTTCTTATGACATAGTATCACACACAATATACTCTATTGTAATGGTCCCTACTACAGGCAGCTTTACAGAATAGGTGCACAATATAGATTTGTTTCTTATGACATGGTATCGCACACATTATCCTCTATTATAATAGTCTCTACTACAGGCAGCTTTACAGAATAGGTGCACAATATAGATTTGTTTCTTATGACATGGTATCACACATAATATACTCTATTGTAATAGTCTCTACTACAGGCAGCTTTACAGAATAGGTGCACAATATAGATTTGTTTCTTATGACAGTTCTTTGTAGATATG